AGTCTTCCCCCTGATCATCGTCAAATTTGAATGCAAGAAAACTCTAGTATTGTGGGATTTGTAAAGGATTTCCTGAGCTGAAACAGGAGACCGCAGGAGACAGAGCTTTTTATGGAGCTAAATTGGGACCACATAGTTTGTACCAAAAAAAAAGACAAAATTGAAACTGAAATTAAAGAAAATCATTTGAAAATTAAAATACATTTTTAAACAATAATAATAATAATAATAATAATAATAAAAATTCAAAACTACTTGTCTGAAAAGTACTTTTGAATTTTTTTTTTTTTTCAGATTTAAATCTTTTTCTCAGTTTTGCATGGCCCTAATTTAGCTCCATAAAAAGCTCTGTCTCCTGCGGTCTCCTGTTTCAGCTCAGGAAATCCTTTACAAATCCCACAATACTAGAGTTTTCTTGCATTCAAATTTGACGATGATCAGGGGGAAGACTATTAGAAACCATTAGAAAACATTTTAATGGTCCCAGAAATCTTCATAATGATGGAATAATTTTCCCTCAAATGCCTCCTTTAGTTTTTGGAATTATGCAGTTTCTTCCTTCAATAAGTGTCTGTTTCAAAATGTTACTTGTTTTTTTCCTTTTGGTTCTTAGTACATCAAGTCAATGCTTTATCATTCTGTTAGTACAGAATAATAACAGTCTTCTTTTTACTGAAAAATGGAAGTCTGAGAAAGTCATCAAAACATTTCCAACACACACAAATTCTAATCTCACCACAGCGTCTGTCTGTTCCTTCTTTCCCATTTTTAACCAGAACCCCTTCCTGATCCTCGTGGTCCTGCTGATCTCCAGCGGCCTCTTTATGTTTACATTTGAATCGACTCAGTTCAACATGGAGGGCTTCATCATGGTGCTCTTGGCCTCCTTTATCGGGGGAATCCGCTGGACCCTCACTCAGGTCCTCATGCAGAAAGCGGAGCTGGGTCGGTCTTGAGTCATTTTCAGTATGAAACTATCATTTATTTAGTTTGGAGGTGAATTTTAAAAACACAAAGTCAGCTGAGCTTGTTTGATATTTTGTTCTTTTTCAGGTCTTCAGAATCCCATCGATACCATGTACCACCTCCAGCCTCTCATGTTTCTTGGACTTTTTCCCCTTTTTCTCTACAATGAAGGTGAGTATAGTTAAAGCAACAGTATATAACTTTTATCAAAAATCTATTTCTTTGACATATTTGTTAGAACTGTCACCGTGTAACAGGAGACCGATTAGTAAGCAAGATCTCTAATACCATAATTACTTATCTTCTCCAGCATAATATTGTGATCAATGGTATCAAAAGCTTATTTTTAAATCTACAAAATAATGCTTATGTCTATTCTGGCTGACATTTCTTCAAGCATATCCATAATGCAGTTGTTTTTTTGTTGTTTTTTTTTTACAAAACACATACTGATTACTACATAAAATGTTATGTTTATTGATAATTTGATCTAATGTGGTAACAAATAATTTCTCTAAAATGAGCCATGATCCATGCTCTTTCTGATAACATAGCTTGAAGAACAACCTTAAAGAAGAATCCTTCTATTAGGATAAATATTGTAGCGTGTCCACCATCTTTGTCTTGTGTCCGTCCTATCTCTGCAGCGCTGAGCCTGAGTGCTTCGGAGAAGTTATTCCGGGTGACGGAGCTCTCTCCACTCCTCTATTCCCTCATGACGCTGAGTGCAGGCGGCACGCTGGCCTTCGGGTTGGGCTTTTCTGAGTTCCTCCTCATCTCCAAAACCTCCAGCCTCACATTGTCGATATCAGGAATCTTTAAGGTCAGGATGCTTGAAATCCTTGAAAATGTTTGAAATTCAATTAGGTGTTCTCAAGGTTTGGAACTTGCTTCATTTCTGTGTAGATCCTTGAAAATAACTGATATTCAAACTGAACAGTTTTGTAATAAAGTGCAGTCTAACATTTGATTAAAAGCCTAAATCTGGAAAATGTAATTTACGGCTGAAAACAGATATTTTTATAAACTTAATCAAAAGGTTTGTAAAAAAATAAACCTTTTGACTTAATTTCTCATTGTATGAAATGAAATCAGACTAAACCTTTCTTGTTTTAAGTTGGATAGAATCACTAAAATTATTTCTATTTGCTAAATGCCAGAAAACTTAGCAAGAACATTTTATTTTAGATTTTTTGTAACATTCTGTGTATATTGTGGTTTACAATTTAATTTGAGAATGGAGATCATTTACCTTAACATCATTTGCTTGGACTGTCTTAATGTCGTGAATATTTTTTACTCTTAACGGCTCAATGACGTATTGATCTGTGTAATGATCAATAAGTTTAATACATTAAATATTCTTTAACAATTTTTAACACATTAAACGACTTTATTAAAATTAGGGGATTTCTTTGTTAAATTAGTGTTATGTTCTCAGACTAGTCGGATTGACAGGCTGTGTGTGAGAGCGAGACGTCTCTAAACGTAAAATTTTGTTGCATTTTAGTTTAACTCGTATGAAAGTGAATTAGGGCCATTGGGAAAAAAAAAAGAATTTAGACTTTAAGTTCAGTTTTACAGGAGCTTTACTGTTTAATAGTGCATCCATCTGTCGAAGTAACCCAAGAGGTGCAGCAACGTTGCTGTTTTCTCTTGTTCTTCTGACCTACTGTGGTTTCTGGTCTTCCAGCTGTAATCTAACCCATTTGTATTTATCGCTTGTTGTTTCCTGTAGGAGGTTTGTACGCTGCTTTTGGCAGCATCTCTGCTGGGAGACAGAATGAGCAAACTGAACTGGCTGGGGTTCGCAGTGTGTCTCTGTGGGATTTCTTTACACGTGGGGCTCAAAACATACTATTCCAAAAGTAAGTATGTAAAAGACGTTACCTTCCATGCCTGGTCCAGTCTGATGTTTCCCTCTTCCCCCACCTCCTACATCCCTGCAGGATCAATGATCCATGGCATATCCTAGATTTTAATTTAATATCCATTTTTAATGTCCAAAATTATTCTGATGAACATCCACAACATGTACTGAGCTTTAAAACTGTTGCTTCTATGTACCAATTTCATGCAGGTCATGGTTTTATTCAGATCTTAATAGTCCAACTAGAAAACACCCTCAAGTGTTTTATTTCTGTAATCTAGTGAAGATTTTTCCGTTCATTATTGATTTTTCAACATGCCATTTTTTTTAATGAAAAAAAAGGAAATTGTTTTATCTTCAGAATTGATGCGCCTTTTACATTGTTTACATTTTGAGAAATGCCTCCCATTTCCAGTCAAAAAGAAACTCTTTGATTATGTAAATTTAAAATCAAATTCTGCCAAAGGTATGAATAATTTTCCCTTTTTGAAATGCGTCTGACCCATGTTGTTTTTCTCCCCATCAGATAAGGTTCCTTCTATTCGGCAGCTCAGCAGTAAAGGTTCAGAGCTGCAGTTGCCATTACTTCGGCAGAACGGAGATAAATGTGAGGATTCAGCTGCTGATGACTATGACGATGAAGAGGAGGAGCAAGAAATCTCACTGCATTGACAAAACCCCACTTGCACCCAGCTCATTCCTTAACTTTTACAGAAGCTCTTCCAGCTTCTTCGTTTCTGTTTTCTTCTATCTGAAGGGCTTCAGTGTGACACAAGCCTCTTAGTTTTTTTCTTTTAGATTTTTTTTTTGTTGTTGCTTCCTTATCTATACATTTCTCTATGGACTTAAAATGCAACAAAAAATAAGATATTTTGATATTAAATTGTAGCAAATACAGTCAAATATGAATTTATAATGTCTGACAGGTGAAGAAACAGTGCTATATCTTTACAGCAATGTTCTGACACATCAGATGATGGAGTTTTTTTTTTTCCTTATCCATCAGCCACATTGGAGATATCTTCGATGTTAATCTGATAGTTAGTGGAGAATAAGTTTGGACAATTTTTTATTTTTTTTCCCCTAAAGTTAATGTGTAACATAAATCTACCAATTCTGAAAAAATATTCCTATTAATTCTGGTTCCAATTTTCACATATTCAGTATTTTTATTTTTTAAGGGCTATAATGAATATGATAAAAAAGTAATTACAGGTTCTTTGATTGAGGTGAAATTTTTGAATCCAACAGAAAATGACTAAATTAGATAATCATCTCTATTTTATGTGTTGTATCATAAAGTTGTCATCCTTTTTCCGATTAATAGGATTAAGAGGATCCTGTGTGTGTTTAAAAGAAGAGTGCTCACAGTTCTTAGTTCTGATGTGTTTTATGGATGTGAGGAAAAATTATTTTTCATTATTCCACTTGATAATTAAGAGAAAGTTAGCCATTTCCTGACTCTGGCCATTGATTGTTGCATCAATATTAATATTTTCCATACAGCTTGACATTAAGCAGCTATCAGATGTCATAGACCTAAATATAATTTCATAGTGTTTATCAGGATACTTTGACCAATATTTAAAACGCTGTGCCTGTAAATTTAAAGCTTGGTTCAATGTTGGTTAGGTTACTAACATTTTCCAGGCTTTTTCTTATATTTCAAAGCTGTGCCTTATTATGAGCTATTTTTGCTAAAGAGTATGTCTGTGATTTGCATAGCTATTTATTAAAAGATTTTGATGTGTATAATTTTCAGTGGAAGGAGACTAATAAAAAGGGTGTAAAAATTTACATCTTATTTAAATTTTTAATAAATTTGTTTCAGTCATTTGCTTCTGTGACTCAACATTCAATTGGTCCGTAATGGAGAAGAGGGAGAAGGGCCCATTTCTGCTTCAAGAGGACGGTTTCAAGTATCTGGGCGCCATGTTCAGTGTTGAAGTGGGGGCTGCGTGGATGAATAAGCTGCAGCAATTTGACTGATGAGCCAGTCTATCATGGTGAAGAACAAGGCAATATATGCATGATCATGCATATATTGCATGATCATGCTGCTGCTCCATCATTGTCTCCAACCAAATCATGAAATAATTGGATCTTCACATCAGGTGAAGTGGTAGATTGGGGGGTTCAAGGCTAACAAACATGGACTTGCAGATGTTTGCTATAATTCTCTGCATAAAAATCTGAAACTGTTTAGTTGAAAGTAGATTTTTTTTTGTTTGTTTTAGTTTTAGTTTTAGGCAGGGTAGGATAGATAAGCACAAAATGCCCAGGTCCAACGTTTCTGCAGTGAAATCCTTGTCTTCTGGCGTTGAATTTTCTCTGAATAACTACTTTTCTCACTTCCTGTAACAGGTTGCTGTGTTGCAACATAAATGTGTAAGTTGAGATTTACTTCCACATATTTTTGCATTAATTTTGTTGGACCTACGAAATCCTATTTGTTCGTTGCTGTTGGCATGAAGTTTTCAGTTGGGTCAGTACACCCCTTAAAAGTACTCTTCATACAAATAAAAATGACAAAAACAAGCAACTGCTTTATGTTTTTAAAGATTTTTATAGCACTAGTGGCCTTTATCCAGTTGGACAGAAAGAAGGAGAAAACGTAGCAAACCTCCCAAGGCTGGGAATCGAACTAGGGTCAATCATCGTGAGCACTTACCGCTCCACGCGGTGCGCGTGCTCTACCACTGAGCCGCGTTAATATCAGAATTACAGCTACTTGTTACCGAACCTGTGGTGTTGGCAAGCAAAGTAAAAAGGTTTGGAGCAGAGCCGCGGTTTGAAGCCTGGCTTAGACGTTCTGGGCTGACTTTCTCTGACTTTTTAAAACATTCTTTGGAGAGCCACTCCCATGGCGGAGCGGAGCAGCCGGACGACCCAGCTCCTTCTCCAGTACGGACACGAGGAGAGCTCGTTTCCAGGTTTTGCTGAATCGTTTTGACATCCCCTCCAGTGGAATGCGGTTTGGAGAGTTTCTGACGGAATAACCTGGAATTCGTCGACCTGGCCAGGTAAGACATCACCTGGCAGCTCCCTGAACAAAGAGCAACTAAGATGGTGGGACACCTTTATTTTTTCCCGGACCTTTTTTTAGCTTCTACCGTCTGTTGAAGAGAAGGAAACACCTGAACGGACACCTGCGTGACCGGACAACACTTGAGCTGTAAGGTGAATCCTGGTGGCCTTCAGGTCAGTTGCCTTTTAAGTTTTAATTGTCTACATAGAGTTACATTATTTACATAAGCAGCAGGCTATGAAGTACTCGGTTATTATTGTTGTTTAGCCTCAAACATGAACTAAAACTTATGCTAAGTTGATTTTCTGACTACGCAACATGCAAAACGTCTTAGGTTAACTGGGCCGTGTTTGTCAATTAAAATCCTTAAATTAATGTAAAATAGCATTTGGACTGCAGTTTTAAATAGACCTTTTTTAAATGTTTACTTTTGACCACCTTGTCCGATTCTTAAAGTATAATTGTTTTCAAAAACAATTATAACTTTTTAAATATATTTAACTACTATGAACTGTTTCCTGTAAAGAAACCAATTTGAGCTTTTTTAAAGGTTTTCCCAATAGACTTTTCTTAAAGTTTCTGGATAGTTTTCTGTGGGAAAATCTTTTTTTTTTATCATGACTTCCTTTTGCTGACCATTCTCAGAAGATTTCTTAGAGATAAGTAATTGAGCTAAATCATTCAAGCTACAAAGGCTTTTAAGCTCCAGGAATGAACTGGTGTTTAGTCTACTAAGATAGTAGGCCCATGTGCTTTGCAGAACCATTCAAACCTATTGAATCTTTTCACATCTTGTCACAAAGTTCTTTTATTATACTCAAATGCAGTAGAATTCAAAATTGGAAGGAAAATCATAGTTTTTTTAAAAAAAAAACACGTTTTAAAATGTGTATGCAGTCTGACACTCAATAAAATCCAATTCAGTTGTCTGCCTTCAGAAGTCTTTATGTACTATTGAACCTCCGTCAATATGCAAATCTTCTCTGAAGGCCTCAGAGGTTTGTTAGATAACAGGAGTGAACAAACAGCATCACCAAGACCAATGAACACAGCAGGCAGATCAGAGAAAAGATGGAGATCGCTCAAGTCTTGATGCCATCATGTATCACGAGGGGAATGGTTGTCCAGGGGAAATGTCGTTTTAGCTTGAGCTGTGAATCTGCACCTACTGCATAGTTATTATGGGACTGCTGTCTGCTTCACTTATTATTCCCTTATTACTTGAGGTTTTGCCATATAATCTATCCCTTCCTAAGCTTCGTCACAGCGCTGTGCTGTCTCTGCTGGCTGTTCTCTACTGTCCAGATCTATTTTTAAAAACATGTGCTAAGATGATTTAAAACAACAACAAAAAATCAAGACAAAGACTAAAACAGTAGAAACTTTCCCCAGTAGCATATCACCCACAGCCACTACAACTTTCTTTTAGTTCACGACTTTAGTGTGAGTGAAATATTTAGTTGTCAAACTAAATATTTAGTTAGCAAAATAAATATTTAATTTGGGGCAATATTTCAGTCAGAGTTAAATGTTTAGATTGGAGCTAAATATTTAGTTTACAGATTAAATATTTAGCTTCTTTACTAAATATTTAATTTGTAAGCTCCTTGATTTGTATTTACCCTGTGAATAAAGTATTTAGCTTGGAGCTCTGACATTGTACGTCACCATGAATAACATAGTGAAAATATGACTTTGAGAAATGTACGCAGTCATTTTTTTATGACAGGCTAAATTTAGCTGAATATTGCTTTTAATTTTTTACTGTGTAACTTTACAAATGTCACCCAGTACTCACAACATGGTTTACTTGACAGAGAGAAAGTTGTTTATCATTTTCCTCTCTCCATTTCGCAGTACCTGGTGTGTGTATTGTCACATAAAATCCAAAGTAAAATGAGTTGAAGTTTGTCCAAAAAAAAAACAAAAAAAACACAAAAAGCGTAAAAAAATAATAATTTTGTATTGACTCTGCTCACAAGTCTGGAATAATTTTTTGCAATCTGAGGCATAATCATGGGTCAGTGAAAGGTCATTACAGTTTTTCAGCTTGAGTTTGCTACACAGTGCTGTTATTCACAGACAACAATCATCAACAATTCTGAACCAGTTCTGTAAAGGTCATCTGCCTACTACTGCTTTCATTTGACTTCAGTCAGGCTTTTATGAAACTATAAACTCTCTAATCTTCCCAACACTAGTTTGACCTGGTTAGATTTTAAGGTCTTGAGCAATGTTTTTTAATAACTGAATTTTGGCAAAATCATCATATTTAGGCAAGACTTGCAAATGAAAGTTCACAGGAGTGCTGACAGCAACAATATAACAAGTTTGCTTGTTGTATTGTTAGAAATCGTCCCACTGAGAAGGAGGCGTGGTATTTTCATGGGCACTTAAAGTCTTGAGTGTTTGTCCTGTGTATCATTAAGCTGTCTGAAGTTTCAGGGTATGCGATGGGGCAAGCACTGACAAATCTGTAGTCTGAATCCTTTCAAGTAGAGTTCCCATGGGAAAAGCTGACGAGTTGGGTTTTATCCAGGAAACGATTGATGAGGAATAACATTTTTGTAAAACTCAAAATCAAATAATAATGGTAGGAGAAAAGCTTGGGGCATTCCTATTTTCTATATTTTGCTTCCAAGATGTTAGACTTTTTTTGTTTTTGTTTTTTAGAATATTTCAAAGTGATCTTGATCAGTATGTTACTTTCTGAGGCATTTTCGTTGAACATTTTTCTCCCATTATCTAAGCAATTTTGTAGGAATGTATTTTTTGTCTCTTATGTTATGACATCTGTCTTCGGGCTAAGTTTAAACCCAGGGAGTTTGCTATTCACACCTAGTAAACTTTACTAAGTTTTTTGATGCAACTTAGCAAAGAACCCATTTTAATTCAATTAATTTGAAAAATATTTTTTGATCCCAAAGGGAAATTAAGTAACTTTGTCATTCTTTAAGACTCGTTGTGAATGGTGATGCTGTGGACAGGAATGATTTCTGGTAGCAGTCTGTCTTGCAATGAATATGAAAAGGCCTCTTACTGAAGACTGTTACTGCATGACTGTTTATAGCTGTCATGATTGGTAGAGAAAAAAATGTAACAATGCAACTTAACTTAGAAATTAGTTAAAAAGTCACAAAAAAGAAAAAAAAAATAATAATGTAATTCCTAAAACCAATCAAGTCAACATAATTAAAGTCGTAGCAACAGCTTTTATTAGGTGTATTGAACTTGGCGGCTAAAGTTGATGCAACTTAAGTGAGTCAAAGCAACAAGGAATGAAGTTGAGTCAACAATTTTATTATTTTTTTACTGTGTAACGGCTCAGTATCAGAGCTGCAGAGATTATATTTGTCCTGGATGACACCATCAGCTGTTGCCAAGCATTGCTAATCTATCTGTTTTTGCCGCTCCTGTTAAAGTCCTTGTCCTTCCAGCTGCACATTATCTAAACCAGAGCGATAAACCAACTGTCCAAAAAAACGAAAATGATTTCTCAACTTAAAAACAAAAGCATACAAAAGGAACAAATCTCAGTTAACATAAGAGATCTATTCCAATATTCTGCCACCACAAGCAAAGTAATTACAGAGTGGGATTCTTAAGCATCGTTCAGGTTGCATGTCAGTGGTTTGAAAGGTTTTTCCTGTTTTCTGAACACAGGACCTTTCAATGCTGCTTATTGCTGTAGGAGGTTTCTAGTAATGACATGTATCTCTTGTTTGAAAAGAGTCCATTTTCACTTTTTAGAACAGCATTGTTTAGGTACTACAAGTAATCTATAATCTCAAGAGCAGCTTATACCTGGTAGCCATAAGGGCCTTAAATGCCCTGTAGTATTATTTTCACCATTTTCGTTATAATCCATGTAATTGATTGCATGGTTCTATAATGACAATAAAGATTGTTATTGTAAAAATGAGTGAGAAATCGGCCAAAGTCCAAAAAAAGAGAGAGCGCAGTAAGGCAGCACAGAGATCCATAAACAGGGATGTGTGAAGCTATAGGAAGGATGTTTACACCGGAGTCTGTGGCTTCTAAAAGATCATTAAAACCTAAAGGGCAATTTAAGTCATATAGATGGCCTACATTCCAGACTAGACCACCTCAAAAATGTTATGTGCTTCTAAAAAGAACGTTCCTAAGTGTCACCTTCTCCAGACTTTCTGTGATCCAGGTTCGAATCTGTGAGGAAAGTTGCAAAGCTACAGGATTTCAGTGGTTCGACAACCGGAAGAAACACCAACAGTGCAACCACAAGGCAGAAAAAAATCAGCATAAAAACTGTTTTTTTTTCTTTCTTACCTCCTGTTTACATGCAGATAGTATACACCTAAGTCATTGTCATCATCAGCTCATGCTGCAATCAACTAAAAAGTGTAAAATAACACCATCTTTTATTTCTAGAATTGTCCTTTCCAAGGACACATTGAAATTAACTGCAGGACCTAAACTTTTTAAAATCTAACTTCAGATGGACACAAACAGACAGATTTAATTGCCATTACTTATTAAAGAAAGATGAAGTTTCTGTATTTATCAGGTGTCTTAAAAGCACATTTGCTCCATAGAGAGATGGAGAAGTGTGGACTAATATTTCTTTAAATGGTTACAGGAATGTCTGGGAGTCTGGAAATAAATTGAAAGAAGAGACCAAAATTAAAACAAAACAGACTATAAGTAAACTTTGAACATTTATTATTTTATTGTTTCAGGCCCCATCATGTCTTCTCACCTCCTCGCATCCAGACCATCGTCTCTAAGGCTAATGCTGTGTTTCCTGCTCAGTATCTTCCTGCTGCTGTCCTCAGGAGTTCATGGCCAGGGTAATATTCTTTGATCCTTTAAACTTACAAGAAAGTCTAGAAATTTTGATCCCATTTTTAAGTAAATGTACCAATTTTAAGACGTATTTCTGTGTTTAACTGCTTTTTCGACTGTGGAAGCTCTGGAGATGCTCTCGCAAAGAGGAATTCTTTAAAAAATCAAGAAAGTTATGGACAACCCTGACTATTCTCTTCATGAGACTTTCTTTGGAAAACAGAGGGTCTTCAGTCAGAGGCTTATTCAAATTTGCTATAGTACAGACTGCTACAAGAGATCTTTCCTGCCAACAAATAAAGTATTTTTGGAATTTGAAATTTTCAAACAGGTTTTTGTAAGACACAAAATAGAGATGAGGTTTAAATCTTAAATCAGAGCACAGATGCAGTTTTCTTCTGCATATCTGGAAATGCTATTGTTATTAGAGGCTCTCTTTGAAACCTTGACCCTTTCTCTGCAAAGACCCATCAGATCCCCTGTGGCCCCGCCCCCTTGTCCAAGGATGAAGACGGTCTGCGTAAATCCGAGTCAGAAAGGAGCTGTTGAGTGCTGGAGGTTCACAGATCAGCTGTAAACAGTCTGCTGGGATTCACCATGCTCATGTTTGCTCTCCTCTGTCTTCCTTGTTTCCGCTTTCCCCTCCCTCTATTACACCACTACATGTTACATTCAGTACCCTGTCATACTGTAACTGAGTGACGCTGCTCTGACATGACCTTTGACCCTCTTGGCGTCCTGTTCCTGTTTCTGCTCCAGTCCAGAGGACAGGGCTTGCTTTGACGGATGGGGGGCAGCTGGAGATGAGGACGGATAGAGGGCAGGACGACAGGGACATGAAAGATACCACTTGTTGGGAAACCCCTGCTGGAAATTATGCAGATGAAGTCAGAACAAGAGAGGGATTTGATTTGTGTAGGAGGAAGTGAGAGGGGCTAGACCGCCATGGGAGAGCGAGAGGAACCAAGATAGCATCCCAGTTTGAGCCTTTGATCTTAAAAAATCCTGAATAATCACCTCAACAACAGACAGAGATCCTTTTTAAATCCTAAATGTTGCTCTCTTCCAAATCTTCGTTACCGCCAAGGTCGTCTGAAGCTGACCGTTCTGTCTGAGGACCGATTGCAGATGAAGTGGAAGGAGGCCGATGGTCCCGTTCAAGGATACAAAGTTCGGGTCAGAACAATGTCAGGTGAGAATATTTTCCAAGCTGTGCTAAACTGGTGAAAGTTATAACTTCTAAGATTCCCTAATAAATATATTCGTCTGGAAATAGAGTTGAAACAACCCCTGCTTTATGTTCAGAGGGAAGTATGTTGGACTATCAGAAGTCCAAGCCTTTCTTATGAAGGCATAGGAAAGACTTTAGCCTCTAAGCTAAGAAATGTTGGTGGCATCAACTAACTCACTCACTCTTTGGTTACCTAGCAACAACCTGTTGAGAAAT